ACGGGAGCGCTGGCAGCTGGAGGCAAGTACTCGTTGGAAGGCAATTCACTAACATCACGGCGGTGACGGTATTTACGACGACGGACGGTCTTGTAACGGTAACCATCATCAGCCAAGACGGCGGACTCTTGTGGTACATCAATAATTTGTGGTGCAACACCAGCGACGGGTGCGCTGGGAGCTGGGGGCAAGTATTCGTTGGATGGGAGTTCGTTGACATCACGACGGTGACGGTATTTCAAGCGGCGAACGGCCTTGTAACGGTAACCATCATCAGCCAAAACGGCGGATTCTTGTGGAGCTTCAATAACAACTTGTTCTTGGGCAACAGCGACGGGGGGCAAATATTCGTTGGAAGGCAATTCGTTGACATCACGACGGTGACGGTATTTCAAACGACGAACGGTCTTGTAACGGTAACCATCATCAGCCAAAACGGCGGATTCTTGGGGCTCAACAAAGACTTGTTGCTCAGCTACGGCTACAGGAGCGCTGGCAGCTGGAGGCAAGTACTCGTTGGAAGGCAATTCGCTGACATCACGACGGTGACGATATTTCAAGCGTCGGACGGTCTTGTAACGGTAACCATCATCAGCTAAAACGGCAGATTCTTGTGGCTGCACAAAAACTTGTTGTTCGGCAACAGCTACGGGAGCGCTGGCAGCTGGAGGCAAGTACTCGTTGGAAGGCAATTCGCTAACATCACGACGGTGACGGTATTTCAAGCGGCGGACAGTTTTGTAACGGTATCCATCATCAGCAAGGACGGCGGCTTCCTGGGGCTCCACAGCGACTTGTTCAAATGCGACGGCTTCGGCTGGCGGCAAGTAGTCATTGCTGGGCACTTCAACAGCGGCCACGACCGCGATAACGGCAAATAATGCGACGAATAATTTCATTTTGTTGCCAGTAACTCTTTAGCTAAGCTAAGACCGTTGCGAATGAGTTAATCTGCGAGAATGATGTTCTTGGACCTTCACCGAATTTATTTATACGAAAATCGCTACGACATAGCTTTGAGAAAAACTCATCACTTTTGGCGCTACCATCAACTAAGTATGCTATGCTATGAACTGTTCGCAAAAAAATATACAAAAAGAGAAAAACAAAAATAAACACAATAGAAATCTTCGAACAATCGGCGGTGAATAGAGTGCCGATATTACTATGGTTCTATTTTTGGTTGATCTTCGCAACTGGCGCATAATGTATTCCGCATTCATTTAATCCAATTGTGTTTTGTATTATTTCTTTTTTTTGCGTAGACGAGTAAGCATTGCCCCAACATTCACATTCACTGACAAAGAATACGAAAAAGCTATTAAAACATTGTATTTGCGATGGCTATGCGTTTAGGGCTAAATCGCTCACCTTAGCTGGTCACAACTTGTTTTAATTGATAACCAATTTGGTCGGCAAGATAAATTAACTTCGCTTTAAGTGCT